AATTACTAATAATTTTTAGAATTGTCATTATGAGATGCAACCAAGGATTTTGGACTTTATGTATTCTCGATGAACAAGAGTTTCATGACAAAAACTCTAGTGCATTGTGATTTTAGAATCGTGATTGAAATGAATACTAATACCTATACAAAAATTAAGCATCCATGTGTCTGTAACTATAGCTTCAATAAAAACTTGACATTATTTATAGAAAAAAATAAGTAAATTAACTCAAATAAAAAAGGATGACAATTGATTCACTCTCAAAAAATAAAAAAATGAGTTAAATAATAGTTGATAAACAAGAAGAAGAAAAAAGGTTTTGGTAACTAAAGATTAAGAATAAAATTAGAATGTAATTAAATTTGGACTTAACTGAAATAAAATTTACATAATAAAGTATAACACAATTCAAATCTCAAAAGATAAAAAAAATAACTTTTATTTTTCGCAATTAAGATCTCTTTATATTTTATTTTAAAGTTAATCTAACGGTCAATATTAACACCTCAAATTTAATAGGAAAAATATGACCATAAAAGTGGTGACCTTTTAAAAGTGCTTCAATAACTTATAATTTCTCATAACTACTTTAAAAAAAAAAAGTAGTGTTTGAAACCACCCAATCACTGCCACCCGACCACCATCACCATTACCACCCCCATTGCCCACCACCCCAACTATCGCCGTAACCACCACCAACACCATTACCACTGCCACCGTCACTGTCGCTACCACTATCGCCACCCTATCACCACCACTACCATTGCTGCCACCGCCCCTATCACCATCGTTGCCACTGCTTTACCACCACCACCCCACCATCACCACCTTCTCTTTCCACCATCACCCCTACCACAACAACCACCACCACCACCACCACTGTCCCACCATCACCACCTTTGCCGATACCCTACCACCATCGTCATTGTCTCACTATCACCTCTACCACCACCACTCCCATTTCCCCTACGACCATCACCACCACCTTCTGTCATTGTCCACCACTGCTACCAACCACTGTCACTCACCCCCACCACACCCACTACCGTCATTCGTCACCACCACTGTCAACCGCCATCACCGTCGCCCACCACCACCCACACTCGCCATTACCACCACCATCACCCATAACTGTCACTACCGCCATTGTTATCCAAAATCGACCACCACCATCGCTATCACTGTTGTCACCCACGACTGTTACCATCACTACGGTCGTTGTCACCCACCATAACCATCATCATCTCCCACCACTACCACTATTACCCACCACCACAACAATCACTCACCCTTTCTATAATCGGTGCTTAAATTCGTTTTTTTCTCTTTTATATTTAAAATTTAATTTTTGGGTATGAATACGAATATATTTATTTTTGACTATTTTTTTTATTACTCCGTGCTTTTCAGATACGTATAATAATTAATCTATATGATAAAATACAATATAATTCAAATCTCAAAAGATAAAAAAAAATGACCTTTATTTTTTTCGGTTTAAATCTTTTTATATTTTATGTTAAAGTCAATTTAACGGTTAATATTAATACTTCAAATTTAATAGAGAAAATAGGCCCCAAAGGGTATGTTTGGGGAGACTTTTTAAAAGTGTTTCTATAACTTATAACTTATCATGAGTATTTTAAAAAGAAAAAATAGTATTTGGAACAGTCTTACCACCCCCACCGCCCCACCACTATCACCATTACCACCATATCGTCGCCACCTCACCACTACTATCACCATTACCACCACCACCACCGCCGTCACCACCTCATCACCACATCTGGCACAACAACCACCGCTATCACCACCGTCGTCACAGCCATCACCACCACCACCACTACCCCTCACCATCACCACCGTTGTCGCCACCATACCACCACCACCAGCATCATCACTGCCATCTCACCACCACCTCTACCACAACAACTACCACCATCACTACCCCCCACTACTATCGTTGCCGCCACTCTACCACCACCACTACCGTTGTCGCCACCCCACTATCACCTCTACCACAACAATCATCACCGTCCCCACCACCCCCACCACCACCACCACCACCACTATTACTGTTGTCGCCAACCTACTATCACCGCCATTATCCCATCATTACCCTCACCGACCCACCCCCCACCCTACCACCACCACTCCACCACTACCATTATCACCACCCATACCCCATTACATCTGTTACCTATGGCTGTTACTACCACCGTCGTTACTCAAAGCCCACCACCATCATCACCATTGCCACCCACGACTGCAACCACGACCACAGTCGTCACCGTTTACCCCAATCGTCACTGTCTCCTACCACCACTATCACCGCTCACTATCACTAGACCCGGTGCTTAAATTCATTTCTCTTTCCTCTATATTTGTGATTTAATTTTGGATGTAAATACAAATATGTTTATTATTGACCATTTTGTTATTGTTCCGTGCCTTTAGGCGAGGACAATAACTATAATATATAATAAAATAGAAAGATTGAGAATATAAAAAATGACTTTTAATTTTCGCGGTTGAGATAATTTTAAGTTTTATTTTAAATTTAATCTAACGACTAATATTAACTTTTAAAATTTAATAGAAAAATAGGCTCCCTAAGAGTGTGTTTGGGGATGACTTTGTTTCTAAGACTTATGACTTCTCATAAGCACTTTAAAAAAAATAAAAATTAGTTTTTGGAAAACTTATTATAATTACTTCCAAATAAGTCAAAAATAGTTTTTCTACTTAAATAAGTAGGTAAAAAAATAAATAATAAACTTTTATTTCTTTTAAATCACTTCTCTATAAAATTCTTTACCACCGTCGCCACCATTGCCCTCACCATACCACCACCACCACCACCATCACCATCACCATCACCATCACCATCACCATAACCATTACCACCACCCACAACCATAATTATCTCATTTTTATATTTATTATCACTACCACCATCATTGTTGTCCACCACTACCCACTACCATAACCCACCACCATTCGTCGTCGCCCATCACTGCTGCCAACCACTGTCAGCCACCGCCAACACCCACTATCACTGTCGCTCACAAGCACCATTCACATGTCACCACCACTATCGTCACCGCCCACCACCACCACAGTCAAACCCCATCATTGTCGTCTATTGCTGTGTACACCCACCATCACCACCGTCGTCACTCATGACTGTCATTATCACTATCGTCACCCAAAAACCTCCACTACTATCACTGTTGCCACTTACGGATGCCGCCACCACCCCAGTCGTCATTGCCCACCACCACTACTTCTGCTTATTTCACTACAATTGGTATTTAGGTGTGAATAGAAATATATTTATAATTGATAATTTTTTTTATTACCCCTGTGTATGAAGGCATGGACAATAACTAGTATTAAAAATTAAATTTCATCGATATAAAGTAAAAGCTATAGAACTTAATGGATATTTGTAAAAAAAAAGTAATACTTCTTGGTAATTTTTATAACCTATTCGTGTTATGCATGTTACCCCCCCCATTAAATTCTCTTACTAATGGAATGAACTTTCTAGCGCCATAATTATAGGAGTAATGCTCCGGAGATAAGAGTGTCAATTTTACCTATGACCACAAACTCGATTCGAATTTGACATGACACAAAATTTAAAAATAATACAATTAGTTAACATNGGTAATACTTCTTGGTAATTTTTATAACCTATTCGTGTTATGCATGTTACCCCCCATTAAATTCTCTTACTAATGGAATGAACTTTCTAGCGCCATAATTATAGGAGTAATGCTCCGGAGATAAGAGTGTCAATTTTACCTATGACCACAAACTCGATTCGAATTTGACATGACACAAAATTTAAAAATAATACAATTAGTTAACATGAGTAATAAATTAGTCAAATTAAAGTTTGACATGAATAATACGATTAACGGGTATTGTAGATGAAAAAATAAGAATTTACCGAATATTGCAGATAAAAAATAAAAATTTTCTAATTTTTTAAATTATATTAAATGTGTTATTGTAGAATTAAATAATTTTTTATTAACACGAACCAAACACATATTGAAAATGACCCTATATAAAAATAACATGACCGAAAATGACACGATATGAAAATAACACGACACGACATGATTGACACCCCTATGAAGNAAATTTTCTAATTTTTTAAATTATATTAAATGTGTTATTGTGGAATTAAATAATTTTTTATTGACACGAACCGAACACATATTGAAAATGACCCTATACAAAAATAACATGACCGAAAGTGACACGATATGAAAATAACACGACACGACATGATTGACACCCTACGAAGAGATATAATTTCTAGTAATCAAGGACCTAATTAAACAAACTCAATTAATAATAATAATTATTATCTTATAACAGGATGTCTTGATTTACGTCGACAACTCCATCAAATTCAAATGCTGACCATTAACTTCTCCGATTGGATAATCAAATTAAATCTAAATTATATATACAAACCAAAAGAAAATTTTGTAACATTAGCTTTGTTTGGAGTGGTTGAAGTTACCCAAATTGAAAGAAGACAAAACACAAAGCACGTCAAGTTGGACATGGAAAATAATAATAATGTGGTTGGAAATAGAAATTTGAGGACTAAAATAAAAGAGTAATGCCATATTGATTAAATTTTAGAATTAAATTTAGAGTTTAAATGACATGACAGATGATTTAGGTTTCTTTATTTGATACCATATCATTTGAGTCCCAATAAAAAGTCTAAATAATATATTATCATGTCATTTGAGTTTTAAATTTAATCTCAAAATTTAATTAGCGTAACATTACTTAAATTAAAAAACTGAAAATTCGGAAAAAGAGAATATAATAACACAAGTCCAAAGTGGTTGGGACCCAGTTTGAAATCTGTGAGACTATGACAGAGACGGCAGTTTCGCTTCTCAGCTCCTTTGGTGCGCAGGTTTATTTTAAATGCGCCCCCTGTTGTCATTCTCTTTCCGTTTGTAGTTTTTCGCGTGTGAGAAGTCTCTGACGGAGCAATGTCTCCTCCTTCACACTTTTCAATCTCACACCCCACGGAGATTGAAGAATCTAGGGTTTTAAAGCACTCAAAGTCCATCTAAAGGTCCGTTTTTTGCTAGTTTCGTTACTTTGTACCCTTAATTTCTCTTGTTTTCTTTCATGGATTTGTATGTACATGTTAATTGCCTTCTGGGTTTGTCTTTTTGGATTGATTTTCATACACCCAATCGAACCTGATCTCCTGGGTAGTGATTTATTTTGAAGATGAACCTTTGATGAGTTGAATTTTTTGGGTCTTTTCTTTTATCATAAATCATAATGGGTTCCTTACTATTTGGGTCTCTGTTTGGTATGTTTATGAACGGTTGAAGATCTGTGTAGTAAATCAGTAGATTTACGGAGGCTCATTTGGGTACTTATGACTTACTTAGCCTAAGTCTATTGGGTTGTAGGATTTAGGGTTTTTATAGATTTGAATTGAGAGTGTGACAAGATGGAGGAGGTTGAAGAAGTTAACAGAGCAGCTGTAGAGAGTTGCCATAGAGTTCTTAGCCTGTTATCTCAGCAACAAGATCAGAATAGGTATAGGAATTTAACGGTAGAAACTGGAGAGGCTGTGTTTAGGTTCAAGAAAGTTGTTGGTCTTCTTAATACGGGTCTGGGCCATGCAAGAGTTAGAAAGGTCAAGAGAGTTCAAATCCCTTTTCCTCAAAACATCCTTTTAGAAAACCCAATGTGTAAAACAGAACGTCAACCCAAGCCCCTTCAGCTTCTTCAAAATAATGCTTTTGAAAATTCCATGCAAGAAATTGGTTCAAATGCTAAAGGTACTCTTAGTTTGGGAAACCCATCATTGGAATTGGGTTCAAATGGACAAAACCTTCTTCTGCATGGCAAACAAATTCTACCACCAAACTTTCACTTCCTTCAACAGCAGCAACAAAGATATCAGCTTCAGCAGCAACAATTGAAACAGAAAGCAGAGATGATGTACCACCGGAGCAATAGTGGCATTAATCTGAATTTTGATAGCTCTACTTGCACACCCACCATGTCATCCAATAGGTCTTTTATTTCTTCATTAAGTATTGATGGTAGTGTGGCTAATTTGGATGGAAACGCCTTCAACTTAATTGGGGCATCTCGTTCTGCGGATCAGAGCTCATACCAGTACAAGCGGAGGTGCTCTGGAAGGGGAGATGACGGGAGTGTGAAATGTGCAAGCAGTGGTAGATGCCACTGCTCAAAGAAGAGGTTGTTATTTGATTATCCACTCCTCTTTGAATTGAATGTCTCATCTGGTAGTCATAGTTTACCACGGTATCATTTTCTCTTTATTCTATCAACAGGAAGTATAGGATTAAGAGATTAATCAAAATACCTGCCATCAGTAGCAAGCTCGCAGATATTCCCCCTGATGAGTATTCGTGGAGGAAGTATGGCCAGAAGCCAATTAAAGGTTCTCCTCATCCCAGGTACTTATAGAATACAGCTTGGTTGTGTGAATGCCCACAGTGTACATTGTTGATTTTGACCTATTTTTGCAGGTGTTGGTAATTTGTCGATGTGATTTACAGTTTGATGTGCGATATGTGTTATTGATTCTGTTTTAAGCAGTAATCGCTTTTTTATGGATCTAAATCTTCACGTATGGGTTCGTATGTTGTTATTTTTTTGTTTCACTTTATTGTGCATAGATCATCTATTTTGATTGCACATTTCTGTTATGCGAAACTTTGCCATAAGATGAGAAAGTTTGTCCTTCTTGGCACACACAAATATACCCCCCCACACACACAGAGAAGATGCTCTAGCATAAACACCCCTTAGTAGTTAGCACTGACTGAATTTGGGCAAACCAACTATGCCTAATACTTTTAAAGTTAGAAAAAAAAAAATACTTTTAAAGTTGTATTGGTTGTTTTTTCTTCTTTATGTTGATCATTTATCAGGTGGACATCTGATTGGTGGTTTGGGTATAACGTATTGTAAATGACACAAAAGGTGGCACCATATTTATTGACTTGATAAAGGAAAAAACTTTCTAATGTAAGGTGCTTGAAGTCTCTTTCAAGTTTCAAAGAAAACATATTCTAATGTTACTCATTTTTATATGGTAGCTGAAAGGATAGAGAATAATTTAATGCTTCTTATTTGGAGCAACCAATACCTAATAATTGTGTTCTCTGAAGTTTCTTTGGTTCTCATTAACCAAGCAGATGAATTTTGATTAAATTTAGCTGAGTCGTCGTTCCTGGGCTTTGTGCAGGGGTTACTACAAATGTAGCAGCATGAGAGGCTGCCCTGCAAGGAAACATGTGGAGAGGTGCTTGGAAGACCCTTCGATGCTTGATGTAACTTATGAAGGTGAGCACAGTCACCTCCGGTTACCATCACAATCAGCGAACACATGAGCTTCCAATCGAAGTTTGGCAAGAACAGTCCAAGCCCTTGATGCTCAGTCCTTCAAGCTCTATCTTGTGATTGGCTTGAATTGCTCCTGTACATAGTTTGTGTGACTCAAACTTGAAGAGCCATTGAAGCAAAATTCTTGGGAGAATCAGCTTTTGAAGCCTTGTAGATGTTTGGAAGTAGACATAAGGCCCATCCCCAGATTGAAGAATCCTGTGGAATTGAGGGGTTCTGATTGTAAGAACTAAAAAAAATCCCTCATCTTGTAAGAGAATCTTTTCTTCAACTGTTTAGGGCATTTTGCTCAAATGGATTACCTTATGGTGGCAAATTTTTGGTTTTTAGAAGAATCTTGACTAGCATTGTAACAATAGCTTTTTACTTTGAAGTAGTGCCCGATATCCTAGTTATGCAATTAGTTCTATCAGGTCTGATTTGAAGTCCTAAATGTGAATTAATTTGCATCAGGGTTTGTAGTCATAGGTTATCACATTAATATTAGGGAATGTTGGAACTTTAAGAGTTGCATTGAAAAACTAGAAGCAGTCTTGTGTAATTAATGAGGCAATGGTGTAGTGTATGTGGAACTAGTTAGTAGTGTGTATTAGATTTTTAGGTGCATTTTGAGTGATTCAGAGGAAGGTTAGTGTAATTGAATTTTCGATTTGCTTAGCTTAGCTTAGCTTTTGCTTTTATGGATGGTGGTGGGATTGGGAAGCTTAATTGAGATGTAGTTAGAATAATTATTAGGACTTGAACTCTAATATGAAACAGAAAGTAGAAGCATTGTTGGCTTTTTCTATTTGTTTGGTATCAGAATGTCTGTCTGTGAATCAATGGTATTGTGTTGCTTAATTGAGTTGATTGGAATTCAAGCCATTCTCTCATTTTTCAAATAACTTAATTTTTTTTTATTATTATATTCAAATATCATAAAAACATAGAACTAAAACTAATGAGAGATAAATTATAGAGTATCGACTTATATAATTTGAACGTGTTTATAAAAGATCTAACAATATACTGATAAAGAAAGGTGATTTGATACACTTTAACTTTAACAGTGTAATACGGAAAGCAAAATCGAACTTAAAATATTGTGAGTGAATTAATAAAAATAGATGTGCCACGTCTTACGAAACATATTGTTGTTGATAGAGTGCAATAAAGAAACGTAATTTATATATTTTTACCTCAAATAATTGTTTATTGAGGTAAGTCGGTGTAATTAAAGAAAAATGTTATTTATACTCTAAATGAATACAATATTTGTTGTGTTTACGAATAGTAATTTATTAAATAGATATTAAATCTTAATATATATTAACACAATTAAATTAATGATAATAATAAATAAACTTCACGCAACATTACTCCTCGTTGAAACATCATCATCTTTTACCATTGACGGTATAGCCTGCCGTGCTATTCTTATAATAGAGTGGGAAAGAGAGAGTAAACCGTTTCGGAGGAAACAACTTGAAAGCAGTACATGACTTGTGACCCACACGCTTTGACAAATGACAACCCCTCGCGCCAAAAAGTCACATACTCTGAACGCAAGGCATAGGGCCCCACAACTAGAAAAGCTCTCTCCCTCTTCTGCTTGACTTGCAGTGCACATCTCAAACAAACAAGCAAACAAACAACGAATAAACCACTCTATTGGTCCCACGCCAATTACCCCCCCAAAAAAAAAAAAATCTCGTACCGTACCAACCTACTTCTCTCTAATTCTCGGGAGGTGCTTTCCTTCTCTTTCGCTAGGCTTGATTTTGACAATTCTTTAAAATTAAATTATGAAAATTAATTTTTTATGAATATTTTAATCTCATATGACTTATATGAATAAAAAAAAATTATTATAAATAAATATAAATTAGTCCGGACACGCCTGAACCAAATAAAAATATTATCCTGATGTTGGGGGTACCAAACATGACTTTTGTTTATGTTCAAAATGCTACCAATTTTTCCCTTAAGTTAATTCTTTTGTTAAGAAGAAGAAGACATTTGTAAATGCCATTTAATAAAAAATTAACAAAAATTCATTTAATATCATAAATATCGTCAATTATTCTATGAAAATCAACAAAAATNTATGAATAAAAAAAAATTATTATAAATAAATATAAATTAGTCCAGACACGCCTGACAATTGAACCAAATAAAAATATTATCCTGATGTTGGGGGGTCCAAACATGACTCTTGTTCATGTTCAAAATGCTACCAATTTTTCCCTTAAGTTAATTCTTTTGTTAAGAAGAAGAAGAAGACATTTGTAAATGCCATTTAATAAAAAATTAAAAAAAATTCATTTAATATCATAAATATCGTCAATTATTCTATGAAAATCAACAAAAATGGCATAGTATGGAAAATAACTATTCCAAATAAGATTTTTTGGCAGCTTTGAATGCATTAATTTTTTATTTTTTATTTTTTGGAAATGCAATAAATTTAAATTTTGTCAAAATAGGACTACTGCTAGAGTTAAATTCAAACTCCACATTAAGAAGGGGAAACAAAAACAGTAAATGTAAAAATTTTAAGGTAATTAAACCGAGGAAATCTTTTGAGTAATGATAATAATTATCTGACTGCAACATGAGTCACCACCGAGTCAATGGCAAAACACCCGTGTTAACACAGGCTCGCTCCGAAAAGTCCAAAAAGCATCTTGATAGACCACTGATAAGCTGTACAAAGAGGTAAATATAACTAACCACGAGGGTAAAACTGGAAAAGAGATTCAAAAAAATTCCCTGCCATCGAACGCTGAATACTATTACTCTTCTCCTCCGGCGACATTCCGTCGAGTTCACCACCAAAATCAAAAACAGAATACGTGGCCAAAGGTCAGAAGAGAGGGGCCGGCAGATTCAGATCGAACAGAAAGGGCTTTTTTTCACTCCTGATCTTCTTGTCTTGCTCGTTCATTGCCATTCCTACAGTATCTAGCTTATATCCAGCATACTCAGAACAAGCCGGTACACTTGCCACCGAAGCCTCACCAGAAACTAAAAAACTCCGATGGGAACCATATAATTCCACCGACCACCAATGCGGAAGGTCCTTCGGATTGGAAGCTGGAACTTGTTTAGCCGCCGAAGGAGGCGAAGGCGGAGACGCGGTGTTGATGCTGGCGATGCCTCCGTAGCCGAAGTTAGTTTTTGCTTTTGGTCCGCGGAGGCTTCTGGCCGCCTCATCGTAGGCTCGGGCGGCTTCTTCCGCAGTGTCGAAGGTGCCAAGCCAGCGCCGAGTCTTCTTCCATGGATCGCGAATCTCCGCCGCAAACCGGCCCCACGGACGCTTACGCACTCCTCGGAAGTGCGATTCTTTGGAAACTCTTGGCACCGGTACTGGTGGGGGATCCCTCTGAGCGCTACCGCGTACGGTGGTGGTCTTGCGGAAGGTTTCGACGGCCATGATGTGAGAGAACGATAAAGGCTCAAGAGAATGGCGATAGGGTTTGGATATTTATAGTGGGGAGCGAGGCTGCCTGGTCGCCGCCGACAACTTTGTGATTCAGATTTTGTGTTGTTGAAAAAACAATACCCGCTCTGTCCCCAAATATTTGTCATAATTTTTAAACAAAAATTAAAAAAAATATTAAATAGCTCTAATATGAGTAAACAATAATTACACAATACTAAAATATTTTTATTCAATACATATTAGGAAGGAAAAAAAATATAAAAAATACTTAGCATATACTTAATCTATTAAACACCTATTAAAAAATATAGATAAGGGTAAATTTGAAAAAAAAAAATATTAATTATGTTTTGATTTCATTAAACGATAGATATTGTGGAACAAAAAAAATTGTGTAAAACAACAAATATTTATGAACAGAGAAAATATTTAATTTACCAAATTTTATAGATAACTTTTTACGAAAGGCAAATTACACAAAATTTCCTTAAATTTAAGGACAATTACACATTCATCCCTCAATTGTTATGGGTTGCACTTAACACCTGCATACTCCAAAATAAAGTGTAAATCATAACAAAGTTAATAGTTTTTATAAAAAGTCTAAAATACCCTCCATTTCTATTTCTATTTCAATTTTATTTGTGATGCCATCCACTCTAACAAAATCTAAGAACCANAAAAAAAAAAAAAATTCCTAATTAAGTCACAGTGATAAAGTTGAATAGAATACTAAAATTCTCACTATATACTCAGTCAAAGGTGGTGTGACATTTGAGATGCAAAAGGGAAGCGAAATTAGAGAATGGTCGCAGAATGTATAGTGGGGTCCACTCGCAACATGAGGCATAAGCTACGTAACACGTGTATTGAACAAGTGTTTCACGCGGCGTGGAAAATTAAGTAAAACGGCGGCGCACTGAGTTAAACAGCCGAAAAAATAGTCGTGAAGTGGGACACAGTCCAAAGCAATAATTATATAGACAAAAAAGGAGTGAAGCGAAGAGAGCACGTGACTGTGTGAGCCGGCAGTTAGTTTTTACACCTTTTCTTGTGTTTCCATGCTGGGACACGTGGCATGAGAATCTGACAAGTACGGCAGACTCTTCACCATCTACTGCTCACTGCTGATTCATTTTGGCTCACCTACTAAAAGATGCTAAATACTCAAATTTGAATACTATACTAAATATAAAAGGAATTATCGGATGACCGTACTCTCACCGCACACAAAAACGTTCACGGAGAGAGAGAGTAGAATCATCATCATGAACGGAAGCGTACGCCGATGGGTGATGACTGATAAGCACCACCACTCTACCTAAATCATGAGAATATTTTGATTATAACAGTAATAATATCTATATAATAAAATTATTAGGTGTTTAAAATTTTATTTTATACAAATTTTGTTCGTAAAATCATCTGATTATCTATTTTTATTATATGTTTAATTATTTAATATTTAATTAATTTATAATTTAATAATATTTTTATTTCAAATATTATTCATACACTATAATATACACATGTTAAAAAAATTTATTAATTTGCATATTTGTGTCAATATTTAAAAAAAATGGAAAAAATAAATTAAATAAATAAAGAAAAAAATTATTATTTAATATACTGAGACCGATTTTTTAGATGTTCGAATTTTATATTTTATTGTGTTTCAAAGCATAAGTTATCACTAGTATGACAATATGATATCAAATAATTGATTATCCTTGGCATTTCTTCATATTTGTCATTGAAATTTAATTTGGGTTTGAAATATAATAATTTCATTATTTAGCATCAAATAGAATTTATTATTAATTCGGTGATAATTTTACGTTGAGTGCCAAAATTAAATACAAGTATTACAAGTTGCATCTTTTATCTTTCTTCTTATATATATTTTTTCATCGTTGTTGAGAATTTATTTAATAATTNTATTTAGTTGAATCAAAACTTGAAATATCGCCTCCAATTCATTTCCTAGAAAAATCCTCAACACCATCCATGTCTCCAATAGCCACATTAAGACACGCCCTATAACAATCCAATAATTCCAATGTCTATTCATCATCACTTAGCTATCAACTGCCAAAATCCAAAACACACTATAACAACCAAACTTATAGGAATCTCATATTCCAAATCCCTGAATTTAGATAAATAAAAATAAAATTGAAATTCTGCATGATAATGAGGGNCAAAAAAAAAAACTATTTTTATAATTCGCTTTGAACAAAAAAAATAAATAAAAACATACTTTACAAATTAGGAGAAAAAAAAATCAATTTTTCCAATACCCACACAAAAAAAAAATTTAAAAACACAAGATGTTTTGTTAAAATTATTTAAAATTAAATGTAATTCTAAGAATGATTAAACCTTCGCATCTTAATATCCGCTAATGACATAATTTCGGTCGTGGGAAGCTCATAGTGCATAAGAAAATATGAACGGGGAGGTTTTTCTTTTAATTGCCTTCTTCTTGCCATCATTGACAATGACTTAATTCACTAGATCACTTGGAACTCTTCTTGCCATTAGGCCAGCACAATAACAATTTTTTCTGGTATCAAACTTCTAATTTACTAATTTAATGATATGACAATTACAAAATTAAATAATATTATTAAAACAGTTTCACTTATTCATTAAAATCATATTACTTGATAAATCATAAATGTAAGAGGCAAAAAATTAATGATACCTCTATCCAAGATATTGAAGGATTATTCTCGATATTAGATGAATTCTGAATTTGGATCCCTCAATCTCTTTTCTGCAAAACGAATAAACTGTCCAAGATCAAAGTGCTTCTATTGAAGGCACTCCAATGCTTAAGTCAGTAATGATACTAAAAAGAATGGAAGAAGACAAACAGAGTTCAACCTCTTTTTCATCTTGGTTTCTTCTGCCTTTTATAGATCATTCTCCCATTAGGGTTTCTATGATTTTTGGTTCAAGGTGGTGCACCTTCCCTCGATTCCGTGATTCAGTTTAGGAAGTTGTTAATATTTCTCCAATAATTTCTCTTAATATCTATAATTTCGCTGATTTGATTATTCGTAACGTCTAAGTTAAAGGTTTATCTTTGTCTTTTTACTTGCTGTTTCGAACAGTTCAGACATAATGAGGGCCGAATACCTTTGATGTTTGTTGAATTGATTGATCAGCTCAGTTTGATTCAAATCGAGCTCTTTCATTGTCTTGCCGAACTGATTGATCAATTTGGCTAGGTCCATTTGACTAGACAATTGATGTCTTCGTCACGTGCCCTGTTTGATCATCCTTATGCGAATTCATTGATTGTCATCACACGGATAACGATGAAGACTAACCCTTTCAATAAAATTAATAAATTAATATTTTTTTTAAATCTCAATAATATTATACATATACCAAAACATTGCCCAATTGAACGAACCTAGTGTCAACACCACCTCCGTCTCCGTCTCCATTTGCATGTGAATTTAATTAGGAAATGTTCACATTCACAGCTTTGAAACATGGAAACGCGTCGAAGACTTTTTCATGGTCTAGTCTCACTCACCCCATGAAATGAAGAATGTCAAAGAAATGTGTTCCCACTCTTTGAGCATCTTAGCTTAGCAGACAACCATTTTAGACCACAGCCGATTGTGTTATCAACCCGCCAAAATTAGGGAAAACTATTTTTTTTATTAATTTATTTATTTTAGTTTAAATACTAAATGAAAATCCAAAAAAGACCTATCTAAAAACACATTTTTTTTTTTTATTTTGCTTAGAAGAAAGGAAGAAGGACGACCAGTTAATAATTCCTACGTATATAAAATATCTGGTTTAAGTAATAGCTACTAACCAAAAAGAACAATTCGTCACTACAATCTATATTTCTTATAAAAGTGACTTAGGATGAAAATTTTTTGTTTTCCTATTATATCCTTAATAAGCTCTATAATTCCAATTTTATCATGTATTGAATATAAACATTCATTATATAGGTAGAACTTAAAAGACATAGAACACCCCTCTACTAAATCAACCTGCCTTCTATCCTCTCGAGCAGCCTCTTCGTATAACCTCTAACGTTTTTATTTTTGTTAAATACAATATTTCTTCATCTATGCAAATTTATTGTTTTTAACAGTTTTAATTTGTCTTGGTGACCGATCCACTTCTTATTTGTCGTCTCTTTATAGTCTCCCAAAATAGGCGAACACCTAATTCGCTTCTTAGGTAACCACATNAAATTTATTGTTTTTAACAGTTTTAATTTGTCTTGGTGACCGATCCACTTCTTATTCGTCGTCTCTTTATAGTCTCCCAAAATAGGCGAACACCTAATTCGCTTCTTAGGTAACCACATCTCTCTCTCTCTCTCTCTCTCTTGTCCCATTTTTCTCTCTATTGGTTCTTTGAAATAATTGTTTTAGAAAAGGGTTAATCGAAATCCTGTTTCAAGTCACCATTTTTGGTAATGGTCGATGCTTTCTGGATTGCACTATGAAAATATTCATCACCAGCAAACTAAAGAGCTTCGTTTCATGAAGGACAGATGATAGTGATGAATACTAGGTTTCAGGAAAGGTTCCCAAGTGCACATCCAAGTCGCTATTTTTCATAGGGATCTACATGACGGATAAAAAAAAATTATTTGAAATACTACACACTTATATGAATTATTAATTTTTTAATAACAATTCATAAAGCCAATAAAGAAATGTATAGAACAATAGTATTGACAAGATATATATATATATATATATATGTGTGGTTTTCATTGAGCAGTAGATGCATGCGCTAGAGGGATTCGGATTCCAATTTTTTTTATCCTCCAATTCCCATCCTACCTACTCTTCCTGGCGGGGTTTTTCTCTAGCACCGATTACCCAACCGATCTTCTATTTCACCACCAATCACCGCACCGATTACCTAGCCATTCGGCTCCCAAAAGGCACAATTTGTTCTATTTTTAAGAACTACACCCTGTATACAAGCATAAAAAATATAGGTATACATCGC